AAAACCTCCTTGTAGACGACATTCAATGTTTTGCTTTGTGGTTTGTTGTCTTTATCGGTGATCAATATCTTCAAACCTTCTCTGGATGTAACCCTCAACACAGCGACATAGAGTTGCCCATGAGTAAATACCAGCCTTGGAAGATACAAACCAATCTTTTCGAGTGTCCGTCCTTGGCTTTTGTTTATAGTCATTGCAAAAGCTAATGTGATAGGAAACTGCTTGCGTCTCATCCTGAAAGAAAGTTTCATCTCCGAGGAGAGAGGATATCCTAGGAATCAGTACTTTCTCACCAACCTTGCTACCTGTTATTATCTGAGCCTGAGAACATAATTAGCCATCTTAGTAATGATGAGTCTTGTGCCATTACACAACCCATTCTTAGGGTCGATATTTCTTAGAAGCATTACAGGAGTACCCTCTCTCAAATTCAGGACATGATTAGGGAAACCAGACATCTTGATACTATTTAAAAACTCCTCGGTATAAATCATATTGTTGGAACCACCTTTATTCTTACTGGCTACACTCTCCGAGGGTACTTCAGATGCATCATTGTAATTGACAACTTCTTCAGCCGTATCAATGCTATCACAACTAAGATAGGTCCTTTCAACACCTGTTATATACAAAACAATCGTTGTATTATATAAATATAAACAAATAAGTTAAGAGGAACTAAAACAAAATAAACATACCTGACAACTTTGAAAGCATGTAATCATTTATCGTATCTACATCATCGTTTCTTGGACTCAGTATGGCACGGTCTTTGAAAAATTTAGGATCAGTCTCTTTCGAAAACGAACTCCCATAAATTTCTTTGACGATCGTTTTTATAGGATCTTTACAGTCTTTAATCAACAGATCATCAGGAATATCAATCATGGCTTCACCACTTCCATCATCATTTATCGTTCCATCACCAATGTCTAAGATCCACTTTGTAAAGGCAGCTCGTTCAAGCAACGCACGGCTATTATCTCCAGCTATAAGTCACATGTTCTGTGTAAGTCTCAACACTCTACATTTGTACCACAGAGGTGACGAATTCAAAGTGGCCATAAGCATCTCTGTCTTCCCAGCATTTGGAATCACTGGCAATATTTTCCTGAAATCCCCTCCCAAAACAATGACCTTGTCACCAAAGGGCTTATCAACTTCTAATATATCACGCATCGTTCTATCTAGAGTCTCGAAACAGTCTTTACTCATCATCAACGCCTCATCCCATATAATGAGTTTAGCAATCCTTATCAGGTCGGCAAGATTGGACTCCTTCTTGATTGAACAGAAGGTAAACTTATTAACCACGATAGGGATTGCAAATCTTGAATGCGCAGTTCGGCCTCCTTCTAATAGCAACGCAGCAATCCCGCTCGATGCAACCTAAGAACAACATCACTTTGGGAACGTAGAGCAGATCCTAATAGACTCCACAAATAAGTTTTACCAGTACCTCTAGAACCATAAACAAAGAACATATCTCCTTTGTTCTTATTTACTGCTTCTAGGATCTCATCATAAACACTTCTCTGTTCGCTGGTTACAGTGGCTAACATCTGCTCGTTTCTAACTCTAAGAGTTTCGCGATTGTAATTCCTCTCATCCCGAATAAGATGATTAACATGTGACTCCAGAGTAATATCTTCAGGAAACGGCATAGGTGTGAATTCTTTTAAAGATCTCCCGCTTACACATAAAAGAAGTTCTATTTCGACCAGAGTAAAGTCTTTAACTTGCTCCTGAGATAGACTAACAGCTACACAATTTCCAAAAAATTACAAAAGATAAATTAGCTATCAATATCTTAAAGATATATAATAACAACAACGCAAACAATAACTATACGACTTACTTTGATCCCTGGCAGCCTTTCTGTAATTGTATATGATGTCATCTGATAATACCTGCCATGTAGCATCTCAAACTCTAGAAGGAATGGATATACTATGAGTAGTGAGCAGGATTACAAAAAGACGACAGAGATAATTGGCAGAAAGCCACAATTCAGCCTCATTGATGGCCTCAATATATTCTTTGTCATCATTCAATAATCCATACGCATAACAAGCGTCTTCTTCACCGTTTTTATATCGTCAAAACTACGTGGTCTTTTGACTAAATTAAGCAGAAGCCTTAAATAATTTGCTTCACCTGCCCCAATGGATACGTACGTGATTCTACCAAGAGCAACTCTCCTTGATTGTGGCGTCCATATCCTATTTGGTCTATTCCACACAAATCTTGTAGGAAGTTGCGCATAAGTTAACGTCCTCGCCAGTTCATACTTATTGTTGTACTCCATCCAAGCAATGAATTTTGACGTACCAACTGAGACACGATTAATAACCTCGTCACCTGGATCATCCTCGTTGTATATGACCATTTGCTGGTTCGGTAAATGAAAGGGTAGTTTAACTACAGAAACCGTGCGATGGTGAGTATGATTACCGAAAATTCTCCACGTAGGCTCCGAAGGTGCTACATACCTATATAGAAAGACATTATTAAATAATGGAAGATTGGAATTTCAAAGATATAAAATATGTGAACAAAATGTTTAAAACATACCTACAGTTGAAGTGTTTCTTAATCTTGTTTTCTTTATCATCATTCTTGATAGTTGCACGGATGTAGTCAGCACCTTTATGAATATATTTGAATAGATACTTTACTGATCGAGACTGTACACACCATTCGACGTTGATATGAGCCCTATAAAGCAGTGTGAGACTCCTATTATAAGGAACCACAAATCCGTTATCAAATTCAATACCCTTTTTAACGATAACTTTCTTGTTATTACATCGCCTGTATATAGGATATCCAAAATCATCTATTTTAGTGATCGGACTGAAAGGTTTTGGAAAATACTTTGTACATTTTTCTTCAGCCATGCAAACACTATCCTTATTCAAAGCACCACATGGTCCATGCATCATGACATCTCCTACTATCTCATACAGTGCTGGATCAATATCCTTGTCAGGAATCTCAGCACATATTATCTTATCAATGTCATCACCAGTTGGTAGCTTGTGACCAGCCTCTAAAAAAAAATGATGTGTGCATGAGGTAGTCCCCGTTTTTGAAACTCAATCGTGTAGATCGCTGCAACGAAAAAATTTTAGTTTTTAAAAGATTAGTTAGCATGATCATCTAGCAATGGTATGGACGATATCTTGCTAAACGAAATAAGATAATAAAACATACCGGCTTTTACGACACATAACACATTTTCTTTGGTGAGTTTGTGCATGAGATCATCTAGTTTCATCTTGAACACTCGCGTACATATATCTGGCCTATCCTCTTGCTTCAAGTTATGTCTTTTTAGGTGCCTGGTAATCTTAGGCCATTTGGGATTACACGTAAAGGTTATGAAAAGATCCGAAAAACCAAAATGCTAGCAAGTAGTCATCGCATCTAGATAATGTTGCACCATATACCTTGTACCACCATTATAAGAAGAAGGTATAATAATACGTTTACCCTTGTCAGAAAGATCAATGTCACCTTCATCAACAGTTTTCTTTATCTTGTCATAATTTTCGCAACAAAGTTTAGACTGATTCATTGAAATGAAACGTAGTCTGTTAGTCTCAATCATCGTGTACGCATCCACTAAGAACTGCTGGAATAATCTTCCAGATAAAGGGATGATTGGTGACTCGCCAACCCTCTCCTGTATGCGGAAAGCAAAAAACTCTCTCATAGTAATATGCAACCTTTTCCTCCCTTGGGTATCTACAAAACCAATATTGATACCAAGTCTTAACCCGTCTTCGCCATAGGGAAACAATAATGGATATTGCAAAGCCAAATACGCAGGATGTAGTTCACTGATCCTTTTGAGATTCTCAGTCTTTTTACACTCGATGATGATATCATGTGCATCTGTCTCATGATCAAAATCATTAGGTATCAATGCAGCAACCTCATTAGTAGCTGGTAGATTCTCAGTCATTCCATCACTTTTCCTGTCATGCCTTAAAATTATCCTTAATCGGCCTGTATCATCGTTAAGATCAAACCTTTCTCGAACGTTTCGTAATGCATCCACATGTTTGTTATGTTTATCTAGCATATTTTTTATTTTCTCAACAACCTTCTCTCGCAATTTATCAGTCCACTACAACAATATGCACTTTCGATAGCATAATACTATAGCGGTTTATATATATCTGCTATAAATAATATAACCATGACTTTTACATAGCGTGAGTACTTTTGTAAACGCTATGGATAGTTTAGCGGGATTCCAAATTGTAAAACGCGCTTTATTTTTTTGGGATTTTGTTTTTATAGCATGGCCTTTAACATAATAGGTTGAAAACGCTATGTCATTGTAAACCGCGAAGACCAAAATTTATGCCCGCGCATTAAAAAAAAATAACAAGCTTTTGTCCCCAAATTTTATCCAATTTGTCTAAGTCTTTCACACTCACCGTCAGAAGCTCTCTCTCACTCGATTTCTACATCGCAGCTTCCTCTTCGTCTATCTCTCAAACGATCAGCAACAATTAAACCCAGATTCACATTTTCGAGTGGGCGAAGAACGAATTCACTTACGGTAATTTCTCGTTTGACATGCGTCATCTGGGTTTAGGGTTATTTCAAGTTTTGTCGTAGATCCAGGATCTAGTAATCATTTGTTTGCAGACCGATTTCAGCGATTAGCTTCAGTTATAGGAATGTGACATTGTTATGGTGTTTAATTTGGGTTTCGATTTGGGTTATGAGTTTGTGGTAATCTTATGTAAAGTAATAATTTTTATTCATAATTTTGCAGAGAGCTTTCGGTAGTGGCAGAGTTTAATCTTCATTCTGTCACAGCAGGTAACTTATTAGTTTTCTAGGATTGATTTCTTTTTTCCTTTGCATGTCATATTCCATGAATTTCGCTTCGAGTTGCATCAGTAGTTCATATGTTGCTTCGTTAGTTTCCGTATTGTTTTCTGGTTTATGATATTGAGTGGCGTATGAAACTCTTATGTATGTATCGTGGAGCTGTGGTGTGGTTGTGTAATGGACAAGTCTTGGGTTTGGCTACCAAGGTATGTAAATGTAAATTACGTGCATAGGTTTCTTTAGTTAAAATTGTTTTTTTCCATGTAGAATTGAAATTGAAGTGTTTGTTAAACTACAAGGCTAGCCTGGAGTATCAGCAAGGTGATAGTTCTTTTGTTATTGAATCAGCACAGCGTTTGGGTAATCCTCAAGAAATGTTCTGTCCTTGCATTGATTGCCGGAATTTATGCCATCAGTCTAGAGAGGTAGTATTGGATCATCTAGTTATTAGGGGAATGGATCAGAAATAAAAGAGGAAAACGAGTTGGAGTAAGCATGGGGAATTATAAAATGTCAAGACAGCTAATGAAGCCACTCCTGAATTCAAGACTCAGAACTTGTTTAGAAGCGCTTTTTTTGACGGTGAAGGCAGTCGACAATCAGGAAATGACAATGAAGACCAGACAGCAGAGGTTGACAGTAAGGAAGAATCTGAGTTCAGGAAGAAGTTAGCTGATGCTGAAACTCCACTGTATTCGAGTTGTTCTAATTACACTAAAGTTTCTGCAATTATGGGACTTTACCGCATAAAAGTGAAGAGTGGGATGTCAGAAAATTACTTTGATCAGCTTCTGACTCTCGTCCATGACATGCTGCCTGGTGACAATGTTCTTCCAACATCGACAGATGACATGAAGAATTTCTTGAAGGTATTTGGTTTTGGGTATGATGTAATTCATGCGTGTAAGAATGATTGCATCCTCTATCGGAAGCAATATGAAAATAAGGTCAGCTGCCCAAGATGTAATGCCTCGAGATGGGAAAGAGATAAGCACACTGGCGAAGAAAAGAAGGGAATTCCAGCAAAGGTACTTAGATATTTCCCTATCAAGGACCGATTCAAGCGAATGTTTAGATCTACAAGGATGGCTGAGAGTTTGCAATGGCACTTCAACATTGCTTCTGAAGATGGTACCATGCAGCACCCTGTAGACTCGATAACATGGGCTCTAGTTAATTCGAAATGGCCTCAGTTTGCTGCTGAACCAAGAAACCTGAGACTCGGTCTGTCAACTGATGGGATGAATCCCTTCTCTATTCAGAACACCAAGTACAGTACATGGCCGGTTTTGCTAGTAAATTACAACATGCCTCCAACAATGTGTATGAAGGCAGAGAACATAATGCTGACAATGCTGATCCCGGGACAACTGCCCCAGGTAACAACATTGATGTCTATTTAGAACCTTTAGTTGATGATTTAAAATTTTTGTGGTATAATGGTATTGAGGTGTATGACTCATTCATGAAGGAGAACTTCACACTTAGAGCTATGTTGTTGTGGAGTATAAGTGATTATCCTGCCTTAGGGACCTTAGCTGGTTGCAAAGTGAAAGGAAAACAAGCTTGTAACGTCTGTGGCAAAGATACACCTTTTAAGTGGTTAAAGTTCAGCAGAAAGTTTGTGTACATGCGTAACAGGAAGAGGCTGAGACCTGGGCATGTTTACAGACGTAGGAAAGTCTAGTTTGATAACACGGTGGAAGAAGGGACAGCGAAAAGGATTCTAACAGGAGCAAAAATATTTGACACACTTAAAGATTTTGAGAATGATTTCGGAAGAGCCTTGCCAAAGACAAGCAAACGAAAAAGACCTGATTTGTGTGAAAATGAGGACCTCGAAGAAGAAGAACCTGTAGAAGACACTGATATATGGAGATGGAAGAAACGGTCTATCTTTTTTGATTTACCTTACTGGAAGGTTAGTATTTGACGAAATTTTTTGTTTATTGACTATCTGTACTTCTATGTTAATTAGTTTTTGTTTTATGTGTAAGGATATGCCGGTGCGTCACAACATAGATGTCATGCATGTCGAGAAGAACGTGTCTGATGCCTTGGTTTCTATGTTGATGCAAAGTGCAAAATCAAAGGACGGATTGAAAGCAAGGAGAGATTTAGAAGATATGGGAATTCGCAGAAACTTACATGTAGAGCAACGAGGAAAGAGGCAATACTTGCCTCCGGCTGTGTATTGGCTGTCAAAAGAAGAGAAGAAAAGATTTTGCAAGCGGTTATCAAAATTCAGAGGCCCTGACGGATATGCTGCAAATATTGCTAACTGTGTTACAGTTGAACCCCCTGTAATTGGTGCACTGAAGTCACACGACCATCATGTTTTGCTGCATAATTTATTGTCTGTTGCTATCCGAGGGTTACTGCCAAAAGGCCCTAGGATTGCAGTGATTAGATTATGCAACTTCTTTAACAGGTTGTGCCAGCGTGTGATTGAACCTAAAAAACTGATGGCATTAAAATATGAGATTGTAGAGACATTGTGCCAGATGGAGAGATTTTTCCCTCCATCGCTATTTGATATCTTGTTCCATCTTCCGATACATCTATCAAGGAAAGCTCGATTAGGAGACCCAGTGCATTTAAGATGGATGTACCCATTTGAAATGTATTTTTACTAAACGCTGATTAAATATTTGTCATGACTCCCAGCTTACAAGAATAAATGTTGTCTTTCATTTTTTTTAATAATAGGCACATGAAAAAACTCAAAACATATGTAAAAAACTATGCACGCCCAGAAGCTTGTATGGCAGAAGGATATTTAGCTGGAGAATGTATAGCTTTCTGCTTAGAATTGCTACAAGCGTCTGTACCTATCCAAGAAACAATAAATCGTAATGAAGATATTGCTGCGGCAGATGATATCATTCTCGAAGGTCGTCCACTAAACAAAGGTGAAGAAGTTACACTTACGGATAATGAGCGAGATATAGCGCATCGTTATGTGTTAATGAACATGGCCGTAATGAATCCGTTTGTCGAGTAAGTTCATCCTTTACAGTTATGATTTCGTTGTAATGTTTTTTGGTTTAGAGTTTAGAAACTAACACACAGATACTATCTATGACAGTATGCACTTGGAAGAATTGCAATCTTCTGATCTGAAGTGTGCTAAGAATGAAACTCTGTTATGGAAATTACATAACGAGAGATTTTCACAGTAGGTAAAAGAGAAGGTAATAATGCATTCATTGTTAATTCTTTGACACTGCTGTATCTCTGACATCTCTTGCTATTTGTTCGCTTTTGTTATTTTAAGATCCCAATTAACTCCAAGGACCATTCAAGAATGTTGAGATGGTTGGCATTGGGACCAAGACACATTGCTCAGACATATAAGGGCTACGTAATTAATGGACATAGATTTCATACTGAGGCAGTGATGCGGAAGACTCAGAACAGTGGAGTAACATATGAAGCTTTTACTATGTGTCGATCTAGTGCAAGAGGTACAAGACATAAAACAGACATCATTGCGTATTACGGAGTGATACAACAGATCATTCTGCTCGACTATCACATGTTTCTTTTCCGTTATTCAAGTGTAAATGGGCAAACAGAGGGAATGGTGTGAAGCAAGAAGATGACTTTACCCTTGTAAACCTCCATATAAACCAATCTGCATTTCTTCAAGATCCATACATTTTGGCTTCACAAGCGAAACAAATATTTTACTCCAGAGAAGATGATTGTTCACCTTGGTATGTAGTCATGCGGGCGCCACCAAGAGGGTATCATGAGTTAGAGACAGAAGAGGAGTTAACCGCCGCACCAGTATCCATTACAGAAGTTAAAGATTTTGCAAATCAGTCGTCAGATGATGAGGGTTTTTGTGTTAGAGATGACTGTGAAGGGGTCTTAGTAGCTGGTTAATCGAGTTATGATGGCTAGTATAGTTCTCTTAGGGGTTTAGGTGTAGTTGTAATGTGTTTTGCATATTTGTTCTAAAAGTGGTTATGTTTCAGGCAATCCAACATGTCGCAGAAAGTAAAGGAACCAATCCGCCACAGCAAGCGTCAGCAAGGGACTGAACCCTCCCCTGTGTTAGAAGTGGTATCGAAAAAACGTAAGAGGGCTACAAATCCAGATGCTCTGGAAGCTTCCCAACGTAATGGAAATGATGATCAATTACCTGATACTCAAGATCTGGGAGTAGCAGAAGATCAAAACAAAGATCATGGCGGCGATGTCTCCCTACCTATTCAACAAGAATTAGAAGAAGAAGAAGACCAGGAAGATGTAAACCCACCTATTCAAAATCAATTTGAAGATGTCCCCCAACCTATTCAAGAAGACCACGAAGATATCAACCCACATATTCAAGAAGAACAGGAAGATTTCTCCCCACATATTTGAGAAGGAGATGTGGAAGCTTCAGCTGATGGTGTTCAGTCCCAGATGTCAAATGAGGAGAAAAAAAGAACCAGGGGACCAACGAAGATGCGTAGAGTGGCCACACAGCACGAGGACAAGGTCGATGTTGAATTCTCATCTGTGGGTGAACATGTGGGCAAGGGATCAATAACACTATCCTCTTTCCTCGGTCCTCTTGTGCGAGAGCATGTACCAGTTCTGCTTGAAGATTGGCGGTACCTAAGTACTGAACACAAAGACGCGATGTGGGAAGAAATTCAGGTCGTAGCTTTTCATTTTTCATATACATATATATGCATCATGCATTGAAATAACTAATGTTTGCTTGTTTTGTTATTTTTAGGCTAGATTTAATTTGGATAAAGAATGGCAGAAGGACTGTGTTTTCAAACAGATGGGTTGTTTGTGGAGGGCGCATAAATCAAAGATTAGTACCCTTGTTCGAAATACGACGAGCAAAAGTAAGCTTCTACAACTAAAACCAAGTAACATACAGTCTGTGACAGCATGGAACAATTGGGTGAAGAGTAGAAAGAGCCCGGCTTTAAAGGTTGGGTACATCTTAATTTTGTTACATGTGTATGTTAAGTGAAAAATGTGTTATACTTTAATACTGTTTTTTGGATTTGCAGGAAAAAAGTGACAAATACAGGAAAATGAGAAAGGCTCAGATTCCACACACCACCAGCCGAAAAGGAATGGTTCGACGTGCTCATGAGATGGTATGCATCTATGTTTGATAATAAACGCTTGTTGCTTGTAGAAAAAAACACTAAACGCTTGTTGCTTGTAGAAAAAAAAGAGCTCTGATCCCTCAACGGTTACTAGAACTAAGGTCTGGGTAGTAGGACACACACTCCGATGGGAGACCAGTAAGACCAGAATTTGCAGTGACAATTGTAAGCAGAAACCGGATTTCTAATTCATCAGTTTATTGGAATTTTGTTTTTATGACATTTTAATTTGCTTGGTATCAGGAAAGAATAAAGTCCATCGATAGTGAGGTTGGATCTACCTCTTGTAATAATATTAGAGAAGATGTGGTGACTCAAGTGTTAAGGAGAGATAAAGCTGGCCGAATCAGAGGCTTGGGCAGAGGGGTTACAGCTACCAAGCTAGCATTCCTTCAGGCACGGGACGCACATGTGGAGAAACTTGAAGCAACACAAGCTAGGATTGAAAACTTGCAGAGTCTAATGAGTAATTTCATAGGCAAAGGGAACAAGGTAAGTGAAATATTGTCTTGTGTTTATGTTGTTAATTGATTGGAACTTGCATGTCTTGAACTGTCGATTTTTTTTTCCCAGAAACATTGTGATGATGTATCCGTCAATGGGAACAGTGATGATAGCAAAGAAGGAACTAGGTGTCAACTGCTTGATTGGATTTGAGATGAAGAAGTTGTTGTGGGTGAAGGAGAATTCTGCTCCGTTGATTGCAAATGATAGCAAAGAAGGAACCAATTTACAAGATTGGCCGTAATCCACTAGGCTCAAATGCGGCAGCTGTTTTACTGAAGTGTGCCATTAAGGCAGAAGCATCTATCTGGAGACCAACCCAAACTGTGACAGTGTTAGGCGAAGCAGTGGGAACCAAAATTCCATGGCCAGCTTATAAGGTCATCTTGGACAATGAATCCAACACACCAACTGACAATAACACTGCCGGCTCTACTGTAAAGTTTTTCTTCTGAGTTCACTTCTGATATATTGTCTGTGTGTCTTTGATGCTTCACTTCTTGTTCTGATATATTTGATATATTTTATGTTTTATGGCTGACTTGTTAGGAAAAATATGATTCAATTGATAAGGTCCGCATAATTAATTGGATTGTGGATGATGAAGTTGTGGGTGAGAGTCGTCTGTGTTCATCTGAACCGACGGAAATGGTCAACAATATTCCTATTGGTCCAAATGCTGCATCTGTGATTGTCGACAAGGTGCTTAAAGAAGATGCTTCTTTGTGGAGACCTAGTAGTGAAATGTTAGTGTTTGGTGATGTGCTACATATGAAAATAGTTTGGCCAATAAATAAGGTTGAACTGATTAATGTTCCAGTCACAAGATCATCACCAAATGCGGTAAAACTCTTTTTCTTATGGTATATACTTCTCATCATATCGTTTTATTACTTGTCTGATTTTGGATGTGTTTATAATATTGACTGATGTAGAGTACAAGTAACAGCAACAACAGCAGCAGTCAATCTGGTTCAAAGAAGTGCTTCTTATTAGATTGTCATAATCCGAAACAAAGGGTTGCAGAAGGCAAAGTTCTATCAAGTAATCCTACTGACTTAGTCCATTTTAAACCATTAGGTCCCAATGCCAGCAAGGTGTGGGTTCTATTGCCGCTTGTTGAAGATGCAAAGGTGTGGAGACAGAATTCAGAAATTGAATTCATTAAAGATGCAGTGGGTAGTACCTTGGCTTGGCCTAATGATAAGCTGCTTTTTATATGAATCGATGAACCATTGAGGTGAACATTTGGTATTGTGTGTATCTGTAATTCTAAGTACAATTGACATTGTTGTTTTGATATGTTTCGTTTAATGACAAATTTCCATTTAATTTGGGTCATTATATACTTTGATGAATTCACCGGTTTATATATAAGGCTATCATGTGGTAAATTATGATGAATTAACCGGTTAATATAAAATAAACCGGTATTCAATTTATTCTGAATACACATATATGTGATGAATTCGACTTATATATGCTGTTTTAAAACTAAACCATAGTAATTTCATTAAATTAATTGAACAATTATAGCTTCAAATAAATTGGAAATAATGTTAATACATAGTAATAAGATAACAAATTATTTTGTAATTCATATTTATAAGATTTAGCAATGAGTGGTTAGAGTTACAAGTTTAGGGGTTAGGGTTAAAAGTTTAGGGTTCTATTATGAAGCAATATACAATTGTACCTCTAAATATTGAAACAATATATTTACAATCTTTTTCATAGAATAAATCACTTTGTGTAAATAATAACTTAAAAATAGTATTGTATTTCACATTTTCAAAATTTAACCTTCAGGGATAAGAGATTAGAGTTTAGAGTTTAGGGTTTAGGGTTAGATAGAGATTAAATGTATGTTTGATTTTCATTAAGAATTTTATGTAGTCATAAAATTTTAAAATTAATTTCTAAATTTATGGACATAACAAATGTATTATTTTCATAATTGTCATTTTTTAAATAAATTAAAATACATTATACAATAAATTTAAAACGAAAATTATTGTTTTGAACAAAAACAACCAATAGTTAGAGATCACTAGGATTCATTATCCTTGTTCGATCTTAACCGTACGATCAAGAATCTATTTATATTACAACCGTACGATCAATAAAATTACTACCAATTACAACCTTAGGATCAATACTACTACTTACAATCTAAACCGTAGGATCAATGATAATAACGATGAATGAGAGATGTAGGGTTTATCTCTGCATCGAGTGATAGCTTTGGGGAATAGGAGAGGGATAACGATAGAGAGTCTCAGAGATAATCTTCAAGGAGAGGACGGTTGAGTAAGGAACCCTCGGAAGTGGAGGATCCACAGAACGACGACGATCAATTTTCCTTCTTCTTTCATTGCGTCACAAACTCCAGATCTCAATCCCAAAGTTCATCGCATCTTCTCTCCACTGCAATCTTTACATATCTCTCCTCGCATCTTCTCTGAATTGTTATAGTTTTGTTTGAAATTGTTGATGAGGGCTATAGATTAGGGCTTTCTTCACCGTTTCTTCTTCTTCTCTCATTCGTTTATTAGTAAAATTGTAAGATAAATTGACATCAATTTTTTTTTTTTGTAGCTGAGATAGATTAGAGGACGAACAAGGTACGCAGATTCTGATTGCTACAGGTCAGAAGCTGCATAGTCTGATAACAATCTCATTTCATTTGGAAAGTTGCATCGCATCCTTATTCTCTCTAATGTCAATAATAATATGACAATTATAATTCCGGTCATCTCAATTGTTGAGTTGAATAAAAATTGAATTTACCCAAAGTTTTGATACGGTTCTTAATTTCTTTGTCTAATATGGTTCAGAAATAGAATCAAGGAAGGTAATAGTCTGCGGACTCCCGGCAAAAGGAATAATACCACAGATACGCCAACATCCACGACAAGAAGCAGATGATGATCGAGCAAGTGATGTAGAGGAGATCACCAGAGAACAGTACCGGAGATCTTTAGGGTTCAGCTTGGTCCGCCTTGAGGAAGATGAAGACATTGCACCAGATTACCGTCAGGCCATCAAAAGAATGATAAAAGAGGAACGTAAGCAGATACAAGAAAGAGGAGAGTCCTCCAGAGACAAGGCTCGCCGAGAGGGGAAGAAGCAGAAATAAGAGGGAAAAATTATGTTTGTACATTTGGTATTGTGTGTATCTGTATTTCACCAGAATTTGCAATACGAAAATCTCATTTCTCATTTCTCATTTGCAATACGAAAAATCGTATTTTTCAACCCCAAAAAATGTAAAAACCAAAATTTTAAATATTTTGGGTTTTTTTAATCAAAAATTACATTATGATGACAGATAGATACCTATTGCTATTATAGCTCATTGAATACAAACAAATGCTATTATATAAGTAATCAATTACCACAAAAAAACGCTGTAGTAAATTATCATATTGCAAAGCAAATATTATTGTAAACGAAGATAGCATATAATTATGACAGCATAATAACGCTGTCAAAACTTTTTATAATTAGTAAAACAATATTGTAACATCATTCAACACGCTATTAAAAGAGGGACTATAACAGCATAATAACGCTGTCAAATCGTACTATTAATAACAATATTAAAACGCTATTACTAATATTTTAATTGCACACCAAAAACCGCTACGAAAAAGTACGTATTAATAGCAACACATAAATCCGCTATCTTAAGATCCCGACCTTTAATAATGGGCGATGATAGAGCGCTTAGCACAACACTAT